GGCACCTGTTAACAACACGGCGAAAGACCCTAGAACCACAGATAACATAATATTACATACAGATACCCCATCCCATACAAGAAAATGGTTCCTTCCTAACTCGGGCTATTCTTCGGGCTATTTTATTTCGCCACCGTAGCCGCTAGATGTCGCTAGATCTGAAGCAGTTCGGATTACTAGTGGGTGCTTAGTAACAAAGCATGAAAATAGATGGCAGTCAATTCAGTCTACATGACATCTGTTTTGCAAAGATATGTATATAATAGATATGTAGGTAACTGTATCGTGTACCTCATTAGGGACGATTCAAGATTCAATGTAAATGTGTAGGTATAATATCGTTAGCCGACACTCTGCAGATATGGCTTATGTGCCAATGTATATACCTATTATGTTATGGTTTATTTTACATTCCATGCCTATTTTTTTGATATGTTGTAACGCGTCTGCGCTATACGTATAGCCTGATTTTGATACGTTTATACTCGTACGTATCAAAATCGGGCTATACGATTTTTTATTTCAATCGTTATATGTATGAGACTGATTTTAGCTACAATTATTTACTGGTATATACCTCATGTATTCTACGATGTACCCCTCTTTTACCTAATGAGAATTCGGCTATATCTTATATATAAATTTTGTATCACAGTGTTAGTTGCCATATTTCTCCCACATTTTGATGAAATTTGATATGTATACTTGCCAGGTCTGAGGTAGGGTTGTTATCTATTTTTTATACGCCTAAGTCATAGGGGTGGCCTACCCCGAAAAAATATTTTTTTGTATTATGGACAATTTTTTATTTATTTATAATGTTACATTGAAAATACATACACGCCTAAATTTTCACCCGTCTTTCACCAACCCCTATTTTTAATAGCGATATTCTTACAAATATTATAAATGCTAAAGTAACTCAGTCTGTCTGTTTGTCTCGCTTTCACGCCAAAACTACTGAACTGATTTAATTGAAATTTGGTAGACAGATAATGTAGGACCCTGAGAAAGGCTACTTTTTAATGCGAAAAAGTATTGAAAGGGGAAATGAAAGGCTATATGAGGATATCGTAATTTTTAAAGTCAGATCTTGTAAGATTAAGTGAACAGGGTCGGTCTAGGTTTTTCATTATTAGAAATGTGTAACGGGGTAACACGTTATTTAGTGCGAAATTGTGTATATTACAATAAAATTTAACGAGAAAATATTATAATGATGTCACTGTGACACTCATTGCCTTTCTACTATATCGTCCGTTAGTCGCGAACTTTCTGGAAACACGAGAGGCGCGCTCCTATTGGTCGGTCGGCGCGGTTACCGCGCGTAGATGAGTAGATGAGGTAGACGAGTCTTACGGCGCCGCAGCGTAAGTACTTACTATACATACGTAGTATACATATGGGTGTTACAAATGTTTTTATTACGAGTAATATTACTCTGTTATCTAAGCAAGTAATGTGTGCTTATTTTGAACTTGATAACATTCTGAATTACTCGTATATCTTTCAATATCTTTAGCGGTATAAACCAGGTTATGTACTACTACTAGTATTGTTAGTGAGGGATAAAGTTGATGAACAAAAATAAAACAATATTCGTATTAAAAATATATTCATCTAATATTTTTGGCATTATTTTTAAGTTTCTTCCAAATACAAGGGGTCTGACATGGGGTGTTATGTACCTACATTAAAAGATACTTTTTGAAATGTATGAAATGTATGTACCTAAATTAAAAGATAATTTTTGACATGTATGAAATGTATGAAAGAAATGTATGTACCTACATTAAAATATAATTTTTGAAATGTATGAGATGTATGAAAGAAATGTATGTACCTACATAAAAAGTTCATTTTTGAAATGTATGAAATGTATGAAAGAAATGTATGTACCTACATTAAAAGATAATTTTTGACATGTATGAAATGTATGTACCTACATTAAAATATAATTTTTGAAATGTATGCACCGTACAATAACAATACACATTAAACATCATACCACAGAGTCATACGCAAGTTAAAAACAAACTGCTATGATATTAATGAGAAAGGAAAATCAACTTTATGGTATTCGAGTTAGGGTCGATTTCTCTCTTTTTTTTAAATATCATTTTAATCTTACCAGTTGCCAGTATTCGAAGACAGCTACGATTCGTACTCGATATTTTAAATTATTATGTAATCGATTTTTCAGTACAAATGTAAATAACCAACGACACTAATAATGTACTACTATATTCCGTTCTTTGAAACGGAACACTGCTATAATACAAAATAATGAAAATTTACTGTTCACAACGACTCATTAAAAGCATCATCGAATAATGCGCTGTAATAAAATCCTGTTATCGATTATTCAAAAAAATCCATAATACATGTATTTATTTTTAATATGACAACACTTCATACATAAGTATTATTGGAAATAGTATTACTTGCTTGTTCGGCTATTTTTAATTTACTTAAAAATTTTTTATATGTTTAATTTACAGTAATAATATATTAAGTGCTTATTATTGGAAAATATAAAAAAGACATTTAATTAGGCCGATACAAATGACGACAATGCCATCTATGAAAGCATGTTGAAAACATTGAGCCCCATATTAGCACTGATTAAAGTGTAATTAAGTACTGGAAAATAACAAAATGAGTAAATATATGAAAATTACTTTTCTAAACGCATTATTTCATTTTAACATGTATATATAACTTTTTAAAAATTGATTAAACATTTTTGACAACACAGTTTTGTTTTTTAAAACGTTTGCAAAACTATGAAGAATTCCATCGATACCAATCACGCCATCTATATGCAACTATAATCTATATGGAACTTTTAACAATAATAATGGCTACTTCCTCATTGAGTGCCACTGCTAGAACCAAATTAACCCGATACTATACCGAAGATATCCCGGACGTCAGCCTATACGAGATTGGTATGGCTCTTAAACAACTTAAAAACAACAAGGCGCCGGGCGATGATAGAGTTACTGCTGAGCTTCTGAGGGCTGGAGGTAGAACTGTTCTACGAATCCTCCAGAAGCTATTCAACTCCGTCATCCTCGAGGACAAAACGCCTCAAGCATTGCAAAGGGGTGTGGTGTGGTTCTGTTTTTCAAGAAGGGAGACAAATCGCTTCTGAAGAATTTCAGACCCGTAACACAGCTGAGCCATGTTTATAAGTTGTTTTCGAGAGTCATCACAAATCGTCCCGCGCGCAGGTTTGACGACTTCCAGCCTCCTGAACAAGCCGGGTTCCGAAAAGGCTTCAGTACCATAGACCACATTCATACGTTGCGGCAGGTAATTCAGAAGACCGAAGAATACAACCTGCCACTTTGCTTGGCGTTTGTGGACTATGAAAAAGCTTTTGATTCGATCGAGACGTGGGCTGTGCTACAGTCTCTCCAGCGGTGCCAAATTTACTATCGATATATCGAAGCGTTGAAATGTTTGTATGAAAACGCCACTATGTCAGTTCGCCTCCATGACAGAATTCGAAGCCTATCCAACTGCAGCGATCTGTCAGACAAGGCGATGTCATATCGCCAAAGCTGTTTACCGCTACGTTGGAAGATGTCTTCAAGCTTCTGGACTGGAGCGGGCTGGGCATCAACATTAACGAGTACATCAATCACCTTCGATTTGCCGACGATATCGTGGTCATGGCTGAGACCCTGGAAGACCTTAGCAAAATGCTCGAAGACCTCAGTAGAGTCTCACAAGGAGTAGGTCTTAAAATGAACATGGACAAGACGAAAATTATGTCAAACGTCCATGTCGTACCTGCTCCCGTAAAAATCGGTGATTCTATACTCGAAATTGTCGATCACTACGTATACTTAGGGCAAACTATCCAGCTAGGTAGATCCAATTTCGAGAATAGAATAGAATAGAATAGAATAGAAAATCATTTATTCAAATAAACTTAATTTAAGCACTTTTGAATAGTCATAACAATTTGTTTTTTATCTACCACTCGTTCGGAAAGCTGTCTCATCACAAGAAGAACGAGCAAGAAACTTGTGTGTTGCTCTTTTAAATAATCCTTGTAAGTTTACATTTACAAGTCGAAACGTGTGAATACAAACTACCAACAAGCACTAATTTTTTGGGTCAAATACAATCAGTCGTAGTGATAAGAGCAGACCAGTAGAGAAAGAGATCAATCGTCGAATCCAACTCGGATGGGCAGCGTTCGGGAAGCTCCGATATATCTTTTCGTCCAAATTTCCGTAGTGTCTCAAGACGAAGGTTTACGACCGATGTGTGTTGCCAGTGATGACTTACGGAACAGAGACGTGGTCGCTAACTATGGGCCCCATCAACAAGCTCAGAGTCACTCAGAGGGCAATGGAGAGGGCTATGATCGGAGTTACTCTGCGTGATCGAATCAGAAATGAGGAGATCCGCAGAAGAACCAGAGTGACCGACATAGCCCGAAGAATTGCGACTCTGAAGTGGCAATGGGCAGGGCACATAGCTCGTAGGACAGATGGCCCTTGGGGCAGTAAAGTCCTCGAGTGGCGACCATGGACCGGAAGACGCAGCGTGGGAAGGCCTCCAGCAAGGTGGACCAACGATCTGGTCAAGATCGCTGGAAGGCATTGGATGCGAGCAGCGCAGGACCGATCGTCGTGGAGATCTTTGGGGGAGGCCTATGTCCAGCAGTGGACGTCTTCCGGGCTGCAATGATGATGATGATGATGGCATGACTAGGTAAAGGTAGACAAGACTGTAAAAAGTATGCGTATAAATCTCAGTCTTCCTACTCCAGCCGCTAATACTTCTTTGTAAGATATGTTCAGGTTGTAGGATTCAGGTAAGCAATGAATTCACAGAACAAAAGTCGTGATATTCCAAAGAATGGCAATGCATGAGTGGTATCACGGGTGTCACATGAAAATGTGATGTCCACTATATAATTCCATTAGTTAATTTGCCATTACAATTATATAAAAAAATCCCATATTTTCGTTTCACAGATAGCTAATCCCTTGCGTCAAAGGCTAGAGGAATATTTTCAACATGCATGGAGTTACACCAATGGAATCGATACGTCTAGTTTACTTAAGGGTTTCCCTGAATGCCTTCAAGCCGACATTTGCCTTCATCTCAACCGCAATTTGCTTGCTAGTTGTTCTGCTTTTGAAGGTGCTAGTCCAGGATGCCTCAGGTATGTTCTAACTCCAATTATCTTATATAAAAATGAAATGACGTTTGTTAGTTTCGCTAAAACACGACAACGGCTGGACCAATTCGGCTAATTTTGATTTTGAAATATTTGTAGAAGGAAGGAAATTGCATGGAAAACTGTACAAACAGTTTTATTTTCTCGTACAAACTGATCACAATATCTGATTTTTTTAAAATAATGAAATTAAATTATCATTATCAATACTAATACATAATTAATATATATAAAGTATCAAATTATTGTAAATATTTATATGTATGTCCAATACAAGGTAATGTAGATAATTTAATAACCCATATACGTGAGGATATAAAACTTATGCGTTTAATTTAAATAGGGCACTATCACTGAGGTTCAAGACCACACACGCTCCTCCTGGTGAAACTTTGGTTCATCGGAGTGATGTTCTCACGTCTTTGTATTTCATTTCTCGGGGATCTATTGAAATACTAAAAGACGATATCGTCATGGCTATTCTAGGTAAGAGATGATTTATATTAAGTATTTAGACAACACAAATAACAGAATAGTGTATACAGATTGAACGTTTTGCTACTTATTACAATATAGAAGAATACTTTTATCTTACTTACTACCTATTTAATTAAACCCATATAATTGTGAAGAAAAACGTGAGAGTAAGATACGTTCAAAACTACTTATTTAAATTGCTTTAGTAAATAAAATGTAATATTTTTTTAATACAATTTAAATAAGTAATATATTACTATATAATACATTTTGTACAATCAGGTAAAGATGACATATTTGGTGAAAATCCGTGCGTGTATCCGACTGTCGGGCGAAGCAACTGCCGCGTGCGGGCGCTCACGTACTGCGACCTGCATCGTGTGCATCGGGACGACCTGCTCGACGTTCTTGACTTCTATCCAGAGTTCCGAGCCTCCTTCGTCAATAACCTGGAGATTACATATAATATGCGTGATGTATGCGTTTATCTAAATTTTATTAACAATATATTGCGGCAAGCCGCCCCAGCCCCAATATTTTTTGTTTTAATTTAAATACGATTCACTCTACTCGTTGATAAAGTATTTTTCTATAGGTGATAAGATATTTAAATTTCATTTTTATGTTTATTTTCATATAAACCTAAAAATTTAATCTTTCTGTTACTGGTTAGAAAATTATTCCCTTTAACCGTTCAGCATTATATATTATATATATAATGCATCGTTTTACTCATTATTATAATTTCACAAGACTTAATTAACTTTTTAAATATTAGATTTATTTAATATGTAATTTTGCTGTTTTATATAGGAGGAATTGAGTGGCATAGAGCCTAGGCGTCGCATGCGTTACGAAAATCCGTCTGAAGCTCGTCTTTTACGTGAAGCGTACGCGCGTACGACGCGCCGTCCACACACTGAAACATTTGCTGAAAAAGTGGTGCGTATAATAAATATTTTCCATTGATGCCCGTATTGGTCGTAGAGAGATGTTATATAGCCTATAGCCATCCATGATTAATGGGCTATCCAACACTTAAAGAATTTGTCAAATAGAATCTCTACAATGCAGCATGTATGAAATACGTACTACCAAATTTCATGAAAAGAAAATGTAGTTAATTGAAAGTAGGTATGCCATAATTAATAGTATATATTATTATTGATATTTTACATTATTTTGTACTTTATAGTACATATCTTATTAAACAGTACACATGCACTATAGGAGCACAATAAATCATTTACCTACGAATTGTGTATAAAATGGCATCTTATATTTCAGTTTCAAAACGTAGGGGAGCGGGGGGCACATTGTTACAATTTTTAGATAAATGTTAATATGACAAAAGCTATGAAACAAATTATACATTGGATTACTTGCAAAGTTAGTATGTCTATTTAGCTATTAAAATATGACAGAAAATTTATTAAAATGTATGTATTTTTTTCACGATGGGAAATTTAACTAAACAAGTCGATTGTAACATCTTACCCCCCAATTGGGGCTAGTTGTTACATCATCGGGGCACGATGTTACGGTAGATAAATAAACACAATCATTAATTATACATATTTTTTTATTATTATTTTAAAACATTATAAACAATAGACATCATTTTAAACAGTCTTGTAACATTTAAAACCAGGAAACCAGTCCTGCCCAGCCATATTATTTTTATACCAACTGGGGGGAATATTTTTTAAATCGAGTTTTATAGAAATAGTAATAGAAATAGAAATAATCTTTATTCAAATAAACTCATTACAAGCACTTTTGAATAGTCATATTTTGATTCTACCACTCATTCGGAATGCAGATTCATCACAAGAAGAATGAGCAACAAACTTGTGTGTTGCTCTTTTTAATAGATGTTTTTTTATATAAATAATTACAGTATAACACGCACTCATTATTAGTGTAATTAGATAATATTGTCAGTGCTATGGATTTGAAGTTTTTCTATAAAAACATTATTATCGTTAACGAATTCTTCAATTTTATAGTAAGCTTAAGCGTAGTTGTTACATGTAACAACTTACCCCAAACAATTGTAACTACTTGCCCCATGATACGTTTTTTAATATAAATTGAAGTCATCATTAATGTATATCAATATCAGAATAAAATAATATTGCAAATTCAAGGTAGATATGTAATGAACGTTCAAGGTTAAAAATTTTGAGGAAATAAAAGATATAGGCATCAGGAATCAAAAATTTCGTAAAAGATTTTTTTACTTACTTGGTTGAAATCGAGACACATGCACACAACCTAGCTCCTTTGCGCTTGGCGGGTCATTGATAGTTTTTATCTAGTGCACGACGTTATAACAACACAAATGAGTCAAATTATATCCATCAAAGAGTTTAAAATCCCGGTAAAAACGCGTGTAACTTCCTACCCCTGCAACAACGTGCCCCCCGCTCCCCTACTAAAAAAAAGTATAGCAAGAAATCGTTACATCTTCAATTTTGTAATTTTAGGATTCACAGTGTAGTGACGACGATACCGAATCTCCTGCCAGCCGAGGTATTCTCGAATTCTCCACAGACAAAGCTGGACAAGACGTCACACCGCTCAACTTTAACTTTAGCAAACAACGGTCGACTACTCTCAATTCAATCACTGGTAAATTATCTCCACCATCTACAATGGAATGTAAATCGATTTTTTTACATTTCTAAACATGTCTGACCATATAGCACTGGCGCCCATGTATATTAGTAGAAACAAAAGCTATTTGTGCCTATATTTATATGTACAATTGTAAATATCTACATAAATGACACTAAAGACATGGGTGTCCGTGTATATTATATTTTATAGTGTAGATTCTGTACACATAGAAAATGAATGGAGCTATGTGCAATTCCCTTTCAAATATTAATCCTTTTATGACTATCACTATTCTTTATTCAATTCTGTTAATCTACTAGTTTTACATACTTAAGTACAAATAATACATAAGTACCTACAGACTGAATTTACTATTATCATTTCTATATATGTATATACATAGGTATTATGATTATAATGTCTACCTATATAACCAGAATGGTTATTCAGAGGTGTTTATGTAATATAATCATACATAAAGTCTTAAAATATTACGTATGCATTAAAATCAATCCACTTTGTGTTAATAAATTTGAATTCCACAAAAATATAATAAATATCTCTTGAAAACACCAGGTGTATGTAAAAGTAATAAAGTTAAAAACAGATTTTTGTGATGAATAAATAAGTGTTCGTGTTTTATAATTAGCAATTAATTAAATCTCTCAGTTATTTTAAAACCTACGTAAAATAATTCTGAGACCAACAATTCCATAAATTTTAATAGAAACAAAAAGCTAAACTTTGTAAAAACATACTCTAAAGACCTTATAGGTATCTATGTATTATAATACCTTCATATTCAAAGTATAAATATCTACAATAAAATTACCATGAAATAATAAATGTAAATTTAAAGTACCTATGTTAAAATTTTATTTCATTAAGAGCAGCATGTATTACGCTTGTTGTTTCCGTATTATTTATTTACTCCTGTTTATTGGTGAAACGGGCGACACGAGAGGGGGATGATAATGCAGGTTTGCCATAAAAATGTAGAGAAGTCATACACGCAGGTTTATATCAAATTTGACTAGAATCGAAAGTATCAAAAATTTGTGTATGATGTGAGCCTGCCATCCCCCAATCTGTCGGGCCCACGCCGCCCCGCTCTGAGCGCGGCCCTTGTGTGCAGGCATGCTAGCGCAACTAAAACGGAGCTTCCCAGACCTCTACCATCATAAAACACACCAGCCGCTGCACAACAAGTACTGTAAGTATTACTACAACTAATAGTGCATGTCTCGATCGATAAGTATTTATTTAACAAAACTCGAAACATTACATAAATGACGCTAAACATATGTCAACTAACATAACATATAACATATTTTTGAAATTTTATTCTTGTATCTAATATTGTCACCATCAAGCTAATTGTAATCAATTACCTAATTTTATCTTTAATTACCTCCTCTTAAATTCATTCAGTGACTTCATATTTTTCATCTATATATACATATTTGCATCATTTTCAGCGCAATCAACACCTCAAACATACAGAGGTCGAGCAGCCGTACGGCGGCAATCGTCGGTGGGTCCATTAAATGACACATCGCCACTAACTGGGGGCGCAGGTGCTGGGGAGCCAGCTATCAGTACACCCGCCCACAGCACTACATTACCAGTGTCCAGCCTCAGTACGAACCCAAGCTCGTACTACACCAACGCGTCGCCTAGTCCCCCGGCGGCACCGCCTGCTCCCGTGCACGTCTCTTGCGATGACATCTTAGCGCCCTCCGCGCCACCTTCCGCCGCGCGAACACCGTCATCGCGCTCGGCCCCACATTCAGCTGTTAATCTTCACCAAACGGGCCGACCAGCCGCACTTTCTTTCAACTCTGAAAAAGCACAAAATGCTGCCCATGTACGTATCGACTAATTTCTTTTTTTAAAACGAAACAAAATGTGTCAAATACATACTAGTTACTTTGTTATGAAGTAGATATCTAATGATTCTATGTAAAAAACGATTATGTATTTATATTTCAGGATAGTGTTTCGCCGCAATATCAAAACATTGGCGCCGCAGCAACAGCCGCATCGGTAGCCACTGTATTGACTAGACTAGAAGAGTTGAGTCGGCGAGTGGCTGTTCTTGAAACTGGCCTCACGAGTGACGTTCGCCGTATCCTACAACTACTCCAAGCACGGGACCCGGCACACCACAATGCGCAACCTGCGCACACGCCTTCACAACCGCTGCCGAAAACCTCTCTATCTGTGCCTCAAAAAAATGACGTATGATATTTATCTAACATTACTATATTAATATGTATATCACATTTTATCTCAAATCAACCAATAATATAATTGTAGGCATAAAATTTAAATATACGATAGTTTTCAATTTCTTAAAAAATTTGCTATACCTGACTATGAACTTTAATATGTATCTAATACTAAATACGTAAAGTTAAGAAGTATAAAAAGATATCAAAGATATAATTATTAATTTCTTCAATTGTAAATATAACAAACTTGTATTCTTATTGATCACCAATTATGTAGGTAGTGTTGGCACATGAAAAAAGAAAAAGGCTTTTATACAAAAAGAGGTTTCATGTGCTAACAGGTAGCACTAAAGCAAAAACGCATGCATGTAGCTTACAGTATAAAATATTTATCCGTAAATCCTTTCTCGCGTTATTATTGAATGATAGATTTGTTCTAATACTCTGGTAATTATGGAGGCGATTTATTGGTTGGGTACTATAGCCATACCTAAATTCATATTTAATAGATATTATTGTGATATTCTTATTCTAACCTACTCTCTCCAATAGGATAATAAAAACATACTAATACAAAATTTCTGTGAGAGGTGAAATCGTCTGTTGTACACTTCTGATGCAATGAAAAGTTAATGAATAGTAATTTCGGATCTAGTCTCGCTAATTACACATAAATATGCAACAGAATCAATGGGAATGGACTTGGAACGGCGATCGGGATCGTGATCGCAACGGCCCACGGTACGGACGCGGGGAACGAGCCGAGCGCACGCCCGGCGTGCAGCGGTCCGCCTCGGAACCGCACGCACCTGTTCCCCCTGCGCTGCCACCACCACCGCATTCGCACTCTTTTTACAGGTAACATTATTATGTTTTATATACTTTTCATATAAATTACGTGTACATAATTATTTAACAATATGTGGAGCCAATGGAAAATACCTATTTTCGAAACAAGAATAATTCGTATACAAATTCAGATTCAAACATAATATACTTTTTCGAAAAGATGTTACTTTTCGAAAAAATATATTATGTTTGAGCTGCTAGATTTTCAGTACACTCAAGAATATTATGAATTGTATAGTAATAACTAGTCCGAACAACATACAGCCAGACAAATTATAATGCTGCATCCTTTCATAGATAACCTCGAAAAAATGTCTCTATAAATTATATATTATATAATTTGCCTTTTATTGTGAGTTTCAAACTCACATTTTGTGATAATCGTTTCCACCGAAATACGGAATCTGCTTGTGAAGGGGGAGGAAAATACCACATCAGTGGTCACTTCCTGGTGAATTCATCACGATGAATTGACTGACCTTCATGCTATTTCTGTCATACTACACTGGTGCCCCGGCAGCGCATACTGTTAGCGCAGGCAGGTGCACCATTCCATTATAATCCATAATAAAACCTGCCACCAAAATACTAACAAGTATTGGTTGGAGACGATAGTTTTGTGAAGTGTTTGGGATTGTCCATTAATCACATTTAGCTGGAAAGGAGGGGGAGGAGTTTGATAAAAATCACGAAAATATTACAAGGGGAAGGGGGAGTGTACTAAGATATCACGTGTATTTATTTTTAGGGCAATCAAAAAAAACATTTTTATCATGGCCCAAATTTCAGAATAGTATATGTATTAAATTATAATTTTCTAAAAAAATTAAGATTCTTTGTAGGCACTAAAAATACACGTGATATTGGGGAGGGGGTTGTGCTAAACCTCACTACGTCTCACCAAAGGGGGGGGGGGTTAAAAAATGCTAATAAGAGATCACATAATTAATGAAAGGTCTCTTTGTGGGCGCGGTGGGTGCAGGTAGTGTGAGGCAGGCGAGACGAGCGCCCCCCGATCCCGGGCCTGGCCCTCGGCGCGCTCGCTCGCCGAGTCCGCGTCGTGCGGCTCGCTGGCGGGCGGGTGCGCGGCGCCGGCCGCCGGCTGCGCGCGCCCGACCGCGGCCCGCGCGCGCTTCCACTTCTGCCGGCGCATCGCGCGCTCCCGGCCCGACCACGTCCGCACCTACCTCTGACGCGGCCCTCACCTCACGCATGGACCAATTTTATACTTCCGTTGACGCCTAATTGAACACGTCCTCGCGATATTGCCGTCGGGCGGATGCGTCCGCCGAGACCGCAACGAGTCCATTTGTAATAAAATATATCTCGAACAAGCTTTTGTAAAAACGTAAAAATGTCCAGCGAACCCGTATTCGTTTAGAATATTATAGAGACTTGGAACGTCGTCGGTTCTTATGTGAGATGACACGTGTGGTTTGAAACGCAATAAGTGATGGTTATATTGGGTGCTTTAATTTTATGTAATTTATAGGCTTTTATGTGAAGCCATTTTTTATTATTACGTATGGATGTGTAAAGTACGACAGCACTATCTGAGAGTATTAATCTTCGATATTCTCGAAAAGATTTGTTTATTACACTCAACTAATTTATAATTTGTATACCTATACACATTCCTGAACACCTGAATTTGTCATAGATTTTGATCTCCGCGAAATTCAGGATGAGGTTTATAAGACTGAGAGATTACGTAACTACCGTGAACTGTATTTCCAGAAGAGAGTAAACGATAAACGCTTTCTACCCGTCCTTGCTCCTTGCCTTCACATAGTAGCTAGGTAATGTATAACACTACTAGAAAGGTCGAGATTAATATTGTATCCTGAATACTCCTTGTGGAAGTGCGTTTATGAAGATCACTTGACACATAGGTGTACACTACCGCATTGTCTAATATAATGCATAGCTATAAATATTATGTCAAACTATTTACGAGTTCTTGTTATTCGTTAAACAGGCATACCTAATTTTACGTATATACGTTTCACTCATTAGATTAGAACTGTCGAACTAAAAGTGCAATTGAAAAATCGACTTCAACTCCTCTGTTTATAAGTTGTGTAAGTTTTACTAAAATTATGGCTCAAATTATTGACTTTACGTTGTAATCGTAGTTACGAAATAAGAAACCTAGCCAATATATCATTATAAGCAATAATGAAACCCACCATATATAAGGATCTACTTGTACATCATTATTATTTATGTAAGTGGCTATAAAATATTTCATTATAATCTATAAATTATATTCAGATAGTGCTAAATCATTTACTTGAAGATGTATGTTATATACATAAATAATTAATTATTTCAAATATCATTAAAGGGTGGTGTCATGATTTATATAATCGTGTACCTAATACTTAAGCGAAAAGTCTCTACAAATAAGAATACATTCGTTGGCATAGTGATCGTACATGAATGTAAAACTAAATAAATTGATAAGAAAACATTTCAGCTATTATTAGCACGAAAAAAAATAAAACAGTTCAGTATGTGAAATGAATTTAGTAGACTTTTATTGTTTTTGTGAATAAGGGCTGTTTCATAAATATAAATCAGACTCAAATATTCACTGATCACCGATTCATACAGAAACATCGTGTCATTCCTATACCTGCCTACAATTTTTTTTGTTACCAAGGCCATCGTTTTACAGTAGGTACTATAACTACAACAAAAATAATTTCCCATGTGGATTATACTCATATATTATTCATACTAGGTCGATAATATAATCAAATGTAATACATACCTACTTTAATATTCTGAAAACAACCGTGCCTTTATTAATCGTTTCAATTAAATCATAAAATCTATTTTAACCAAATTGTACCTCTTATGGTTTTAATTCTGCATCTATTACAGATGCAGAATTAAAACCATTTCAATTCATTATTTCTGCTACTAGACTGCCACAACTAACTAACCTACTTGAGTATCATGAAAATAACAGTAGTTGAGTTTTCATACTCATAGTTCACTTTTCCTATTATTAAATTCGTACTTTAACTTTCGTGATTTTCAATTTAATCTATGGTCAAGATATTCCAACAAAAAAGAACTGTTTCTTTCGTGTTCGTTTCAGGAAACTATTTCCATATAATTTATACAAGGTAACAACCAACGATATTTTTATTAAAATTATAACTACATATATGCTTAGTTCACGCAAGTGCCTTTACGCGTAGTGTACTAACTACTGACCATCTGATACTGTTACATTCATAAATATGCAGTTGTATAATTATTAAGGAAATCACCTCCGCGATTAAGTGATAAAGGCACTTGTATGAGCACATATTGTGCATTGAATAATATTGTGTAATTTCAACGAGTTTCACAAGAGTACTTATCGTTAATTATATTTACAGTCACACATTTTATTTATTAATCTCCAAGATATTTAGTAGATATTGTTTAAATAATTTTTAATGCGATAATGTAAATATTATTACATGTAGGTACTTAGATTTAGATTTGTAAATTGGTCAATTCTCTGATGAACATAATTCTCAAATCTTTCTAAATTGTAAAATTGTTGCTTTGCTTTAAAATTACGCCGAGCACTCTAGATTAACTTTAAAAATGTTTGCTTTTATAGTAATATAATACATATGTAGTACATCAAGTAACGAGATACTAACAAAATACATTACTCCCATATACATTATTGCATCAATTAGTAAATCGTTTATGACATGCTTTAGCATGAAGTTATATATCTATACTGCCAAATTGCGAAAAACCTATAATAAGTCTATTAAACCAGTATAATAATCACTCAAATTGACATGTTTACATTATTTATTTGTTGATTATACATAATCGTGAATTAATATGTTGTGCATACCTATTGTCACATAATTATCTATGAAATACCTAATTAAAACAGTTTGACATCAAAGTAACATTTTCAAAACAGTTAGTAAATAGGTACATTGTTAACGCTTAATGTGATATGGAAGGAAAAAGAATTGCAAAAGATCTGACAATCGAACCAAATAATATGGTTTACATAATTTTTACTTGTTACATTCATAACTACCCTACTCGACCAACAGTAAAGTATTAAAAACATAGATACTAAATTGCCTGATTATTTCATTAGCACAGATATGAATATAAATCGATTCCGTAACTGTATGCACATCAAGTCACTATTTTGGACCCTTATGATGTACTTGCGCATAATTAAATCTTAACCGACCTACATTATAGTAAAATCAAGGCTAATATCGGTGCAGTCATAGTGGGGGTAAGATCGGTAATGACGAACACTCATCTAGGGCTAGATCTAATCCCATGACATTGGTAAAATGATCTAATCCAATGTCATAGGATTAGTTTTATTATTATTATTCGGTTTAATTCCATATTTCATGAAGAAATAACTAACAGACATTGCTATCGATTTGTTTACAATACAAAATTTATTAGATTGAAATAGAAATTGAGAATAGAACCCGAATAAATAAATCGAGACGGTGTAGGAAACGACCCGGTGTATTCCACTCTACTGCCCGACATTGCCCCTTATTTTTGTGTCTTGTGTAGACTGTATTACTATATTAGTAACTAGTGCCTATAATCATTTGTACCCTAAATAAACGACTCGAACTTCCAAAAGATAAAAATTATATCTTTAGGAAGATAACATTTACATCATCATATAATATCTATTTTTTTAATTATGAGTTTAGAAGGAGCTCTTATGTTTCAGTATGGACTGAGGTACTAATACAGTCTATCTCTATCTACATCGGTTCATGCCATGGGGTCGGTATCTCTAACTTTTATAACCTTTTTTTACATTCTCGCACTGATGAGGACTTTATCAAAAATTATATAATTATTTACTACTTTATACTGTTCAGTTATAGGGCAAGGAAATGTTGCTATGACTGTTCAGCTGAGCCGAGCTTATTACAATAAAAATTACTAAATAAAATGCAATGACAATACAATCTATTCGTAAATTCCGGTTATAGGTATTCATATCCATTACGTAGCGTACCTACCTATAGGAAAATGTTATTATTATACCTATACATATGATGGCCAAAATCAGAATGACATTGAGTTTTTTCTCACCAAAAAAATTTAAATAATGCGTTCAAATATTACTATAGAAATATTCTTACATGGCTTCAGTAAAATGCTATAAACATATAAAGCATCTTGTAAAAGTTTCAGTGTGCGTCTGGTTACAATTACAACTACAACTA